TTCCCATCCCGTGCAGCTCTTTGAGGTGTTACACTTCCTGGCAGAGAATTTCATCTTCTCCTACATGGGCCTGGCGCTGTTTACCTTCCAGAAGCACGTTTTCAGCCCTGTGTTCATCATTGGAGCTTTTGTATCCTTTTTTTGGTTCTACTGTTTTGTCTGTGGACAAGTGACTACTGCTGGGGAAGCTATAATAAGAAGAATTTCTGTTTGGGGTGGGTGACTGAGCCAGCGCTGGTTCATGATGGTGTTTTCCTGCTGAGAAAAAGAAGGCTTACGAGGTTCATAAAACTCAGTGGATTCAATGGAAAGATTGGCATTCATCTGAGGCTATCCTCTCTGCGTGTTCTGTGTAAGACAGTTTTCCTGTTAGCCTGGTGCGTGGCAGGTGGTAGCTTGTTTTATAGAACACCCTTCTTCTTATTTATTTTATTTATTTATTTTCTTATTTATCTTATCTTATGTATTTATTTATTTATAAAGATTTTATTTAGTCATTTATTTTAGAGAGAGAGAAGAGCACGCATGTGCTTCTGCATGCAGGGGGAGGGGCAGAGGGGGAGGAAGAGGGGGAAGCAGACTCTGCGCTGAGTCCCGACATGGCACGTGGGATGTGGGACCCCGAGACCATGACCTGAGCTGAAATGAAGAGTCAGATGCTCAACCGACTGAGCCATCCAGGTGCCCCATAAAGCACCCTTCTTAGCAGATCTGCAAGTTGGCCACTGTGTCAGTCCCAGAATCATTTTTATTTCATTGCTACATGAATTCCAATCCAGAAGGTTCCCAGTTTGGAAGACCTGAAGGTTCTGTTACTCCTGTTCCCGACTGCACAGGCAGCCCTTCCTCACGCTGCCCAGAGAGGCCTGCCGGCAATGAATCCGCTTTCCCTGGAGCATACCTGCTGTGATAGATCACAGTGGAGAAGACTCCCTTTATTTTTTTCCAAAAAAAAAAAAAAAGAAAAGAAAAAGGAGAGGAAGAAAAGACAAAATGGAAAAATACTTGGTTCCTTGACTTAGTTCCATGGTGAATGCAGTTTTTGGCAGAGAGACACTATTTTAGGGATTGGCGTCTCTGAAGAAAGGAGGGATGTGAATGCCCAGCTGTGGGTGGACAGCTCAGAGCTTTGCTCGCTTGGCCTCTGATCCTATGGTTTTCATTGACGTGCACTCCTCTGGGCCTTGGAATGGTAGCAGTTCAGCTCAGCCTAGATTTGTAAACACTGAGCCAGCATCCCCTATTGCCGGGCGTTTACGCTTGCTTTTTCTGAGGCCTCATGGGTAACCTTTAAAAAAAAAAAAAAAAGGAGTGTTTTTCTCTTCTGGGCTTGAGGACCAAGGGATACTCACCAAGCAGCTGGATAGTGACTGTGGCTGGCCTGTTGCTGTGCGGGGTCCTTCTGGTTAGAGTGTGATCTCCTTCACCTGGGGCTCTTTTGGATGGATTTACATACTCGCCAAGACTGACAGCTAAAAATCTGGGGGATCAGCGTTCTCATTCTTGCTCCAGAAAGACCTCACATGTCCTCTAGATCTGTATTCGGAGCACAGCATCTGGGGAGAGAGAGTGAGAGCAGCAGCCCTTGTTTACAGAGGAGGGCCTTGCTGGGAGGGTGAGCCGGGGGTGGGGGGAGCCCCCTGGGAGTCCCAAAGGCCCCTTACCACTTGACGACCTTTGCGTGGCTTCTGGGATAAAATGTGCTTTCTAAGCAGTACCTGTTTCCTTCTGTTCGAAACCAAACAACACAACACAGAACCAGAGGGGTTGGGAGGGGCACAGATTGAAAAAAAAAAAAAAACAGCTAAAAGCAGAAAAAACAGTCAGTCCTTTACCCTGGAGGAGGCAGAAGACAGTTCCGCCCTGGCTTGTGTCTGAAACAGCTGCAGCTCAGGCAGCTGGTGCTTGGCTGGCCCAGAAACTCCCTGTCCCCGCGGCTCCCACGGCGGTTTCCTTCTGCGACCAGGGCAGCATGTGGCTCTCTGCCAGACTCTAGTCTAAACTCAGCAAGTGAAGGATGACCCGTTTCCCTGAATTCTTCGCTGTCCACAGCAGAGCTCCCCTTCCACACTCCCCCATTTCCATGGCTCTCCCCTCTGGAAGACTTTTAAGCCACTTAGGTAGAAAAATCTCCCCCTCCCGTTGAGTCTTAGGAGGGTTAGGAGTGCTCCTTCAGTGGCCTGAGTCCTTTTTGTGTCTGCACAAAGTGTCTCACTGTAGCATCTTCCTGGTCCTTGCGGGCCCCTGCTCTCTACTTCTGACTGAAGCATATGCGCTCTTACCCAGGACATTTGCTCTTTACCGTTTGACCTGGAGGGTAGGCGTTTGCTCTTCTTGTGACTTTCCTTCTCATGGAGCCCAAGCCACGAATCGCTCCTCTCAACACACCCCCCAACCCCTGCCGTGGTGCCTGAGCTTATTTCTGGACTCATTTTTAGGAGATGGGAAACTTGGTCCACATCAGTGTGATTAAATCAAGAAGTTATAACAGAGGTGCCTGGGTGGTTCAGTCGGTTAAGTGTCTGCCTTCATCTCAGGTCACGATCCTGGGGTCCTGGGATCAAGTCCCACATCAGTCTCTCTGCTCAGCGGGGAGCCTGCCTCTCCCTCTCCCTCTGCCTCCTCCCTGCTGCTTGTGCTCTTGCTCTCATAGTATCTCTCTCAAATAAATAAATAAAATCTTTAAAAAGAAGAAGTTACAACAGCCCATTTAAAAGGTTCGAAATGAACTCCGATGGGAGCCAGAAGGCTGGGAAAGCTGTCTAACTGAATCCCCACTTGCTGCGGAGACTTGTTTCAGGGGAGGCTGGACAGCTTGGCTGCCTCGTGCGACCATCCCGGTCTTTGTGCAGTTATGTCCTGGTCATGAGGGATCACAGCATCACTAACATTCTCTGCTCTGCCAGAGGCTCTGGGAAGATGCCTTTCTAGAAAGCTGTTGGGTCCTTAACCTCCACCTGGTGCTCAGGTCGCCATCTTCCTGGGCAGAGCTGCGCACATCTACCCGCTCTCCTTCTTCCTCAACTTGGGCAGAAGGCACAAGATTGGCTGGAACTTTCAACACATGATGATGTTTTCAGGTAAAAAACTGTACTTGTCAAGAAAAATGAGTTTTATTCGGCAGGAATGCTAGCATGATTAAAATATCATCAATAAGGTCCACAAAGAGCCAGAAGTTCAGACGCCTGGTTCTTTTGTATCCCTGCCCTGCTGGGTAGGCTGACATCCATGCTAGAGTTAACTCTGGTTTTGCAAGCTGTACTACCAGATGTGAACGTTTTCCCCCAAAATAGCCGCATCTTCATTTTTATCTCTACCACCCATGGGACCTATAGGTATACAAGTATTTAAAGTGCTTGATTATTTTCTGGTCGGCATTCATAACGCTTAATCTTCCAGAAGGGCTCCAGACTTAAAATTTCTAGGTCTTTAATGAGAAAGGCCAGGTCGTTCAGTACCTCCCAGCTGCAGTATCCAGTCTTGTAAAATAATGAAATTGAGCTACTTAGTTGAGGTTCCTCCCAGTTCCAACTTTCTCTGAAGCATAAAACAGCACAAAACCAACCAAACCGAAAAACCACTTGCATAAGCAAGATGAGCCCCACACTGGAAATTAACAGCTGTGATAGTGCTGTTTGATCTACACTGTCTCCCACATCCACCACCCTCCCCCTCCACCCCATAAAGCTCAGAAGTGTGCAGAAGCCACCAAGGGAACAAAGGACAGTAAAATAAGTGGAGGTAAAGGAAGGAGAGAGCAGCTGGCCTGAGCTGATGGTGCAGTAAGCATGCAGTAAGCGTCAGGCATCATACATGAGATCCAAGTTAGAGGGTCTTTGTAGAGCAGAGGGAGGAGATGGTGGGGCCGCCGGAGGCCACAGGGATCCTTAAAGGTACCTCTGTCCTCTGTGGGGGATGGGGAGGAACTGCGCAAGAGGCAAAGTGAGTAGCAGCCCTTGACTGCAACGTGGTGGTTCTCGTGGGGGAGGGAGGTGTCAGAGTCTTCTGGAACTCTCGGCAACAGGCACTGCACCACGAAGCAGTTGCTCTGTGTGGTACTTGCTTACCTCTGCACTGAAACAGGCCACCTGCTGCAGTGAGTGCCTTTCACTCTGACAGCTGTCCACACAGCATCCTCTTTGTAATGCAGCACTCTGGGTTCTAGAGGGGACAAAGACCGCCTCCTTGCCAGACTCTCAGTCTGCTGTGGGGGAGGCAGATGAGCAAAGAGCTAACTTCCTCTGGAGGGAGCGTGACACACTGCAATCAAGGTGGGGAAGAGGAGGGCCTGGGGCCATCTTTACCAAGGGGGCAGCCTTCATCCTGGGTTTGCCAGAAATGAGTCTCATGAGGCAGCAGGTTGGACAATCAGGAGAGCGTTGCCAGGCTTTTTCCAGGAAGGGCAGCAGTGTGCTTTCGCTGTAAGACGCAGGGGCTAATGCAGAAAGAGGGTCAGGTTGGATGGGGGAAATTGCATCTAGGCTGCTGGGAGCTCAGGCGGCATCAGAACCACCTGTTGGGCTGGTTAGAGGCCCTTGAGGGGCCCCACCGCCAGAGTGCTTCCGCAGGTACAGGGCCCCAGGAATGGGCACTTCTCACGTACTCTTGGCTGCTGCTGCTGCTGCTGCTGCTGCTGCTGCTGCTGCTGCTGCTAGTGGTTTGAAGACCACACTTTGAGAAACACTGTTGGAGTCTGGACCCCAAGGAAGCCCCATTGCTGTGCCCAAGAGGTTGGGCTTGACTCGAGAGCAGCCGGGCAACTTTAGAGGTTTCTGAGAAGGGCACACCAAGGTCCTCCTTCCATATCAAGAAGGGGCTGCTGGGAAAGAGCGAGGCCAGCTGGAGATAACTCAGCACCTGGATAAATTTAAAGTATGTTCATTATTTTCTGTACTACAAGACTGCGACGTACACAGAGCTGTTTAAAGATACCGTCTCCTGTAAAAGTTACTTCCTGCCAGGAGCAATCTCACCATTGAAAGGAACTCAGTTCTTTAAAGTGATGAAAAAATCCAAGGCTTCTCTATCGTACAGCATACAGTGTTTACCTGATAAAATCAAGACGACTGTAGCACACATTGTCTCTCTCTGACCCCCACGCTTTGTTCTTAGAGACAGCATCCTTTTAGAGGCTTAAATATTGATTGTTGACAATGGTGGCTGTCGGCGTTCTAGATGTACGTAAGTGTCTCCCTAGCACAGATTAACAGAAAACATTGTTTTTTCATGTCATTTTTGGGGAGTCATTCTGCAGTGAATTGTGAAGTTCTCAGATTAGCGAATTTGCAAAATTATCAGGAAAGGTAGGAAACTACATAAACAGATACAGTGCGTATAACTTTTCTTGCTCTCATACAACATACACAGTTGTCGTGTGCCCCCCCTTCCACCGCTGGTGAACAGGAGCTCATGCCAGGTATCTATTGAAGACCATGGAGTCACTCTTTACTTTAAAACAAATGAGGAGTGTACTTTGAAGAAGGAACAAAAGAGCTTAGAATGACAAACATTAAAATGTGGGTGTTTAATCTTCTTTTTAAAAACAAACAAGGGGCGCCTGGGTGGCTCAGTCGTTAAGCGTCTGCCTTCGGCTCAGGTCACGATCCCAGAGTCCTGGGATCGAGCCCCGCATCGGGCTCACTGCTCCACGAGGAGCCTGCCTCCCCCTCTCTCTCTCTGCCTGCCTCTCTGCCTACTTGTGATCTCTGTCAAATAAATAAAATCTTAAAAAAAAAACATAATATTTTATTAAATATAACATAAGTAAAATCTAATGCAAAATAAAAATATGAGAACTCACATAAAAGAAGAACAAATATTTGTGAATATATATTAAGAATATTCACAATTGTTTCAGTTCCTTTGTGAGTGTTGCACTGTGTAGATCAAAACATATGCTTTTAAAATTAAAGGTAGGAATGTAACTTAACTACATAAAGTTAATTTCTATTTGGCAGGGTTTTTTGTTTGTTTTGTTTTGTTTTTAGTCAAGTTGACACAATGTTTATGTTAGTTTCAGATGTAAACATAGTGATTCAACTTCCCTACGGGTTGTGCTGTACTCACTCTAAGTATTTGGTGCCTAATCTTAATGCCCGTTAATGTGGGTGAAGGGTCAGCGAACTGTAGTCCTGGGGTCCAGTCTGGCTGCTGTCTGTTGTCATACACGCCACGGCTCAGAATGGCTTTTACCAATGGACATCTACAGTCCACGTCATGAGAGGAGACACTGACTTTGAAATCCAATCAGGTGAAATCTCATCCTCCAAGAGAATCCCACTGTTTGCATTAACGCACCTGTATTACAACAAACTGTACTCAGTTATTATGAGTCCATTCTTGGTTTTTGTCGATAAGATTTTGTGGGAATCTGCTTTTTCTCTTATACATCAGTATCTGCACAGTATTCTTAATTTTTTCCCCCTTACCCCATAAAGCCTAAGATCTCTAATATCTGACTATTTACAGAAAAAGTTTGCCAGCCCCTGATGTAGATCAAGTTATATCGTTGCTTCTCTGTGTGGCTTTGCTAAGGAAATGCTGACCTGCTCTGTGGTTCGTGGCACAGAAGCCACAAATAGGCATTTGCCACGTTCATACCTAGCCTGCTACTTCCATTTATGATGACCGTATAGTGCTAGGATCACAGACCTAGAGAGCTTATGTTTTTATTTTTTATTTAAATTTCTTTTTACTTCATGTTCCTAGAAGAACTATTTCAGCAATAAGAGCATGTTGTTGTCCTAGAATGGGCCATACAAAATAGTGCGGTGTTCTTCTCCTTACATTACGGGCATTTTGGGAAAAAAAAAAAAGTCCAACAGGAGAAAAACCATATGCCCTTAAGTTTCTTCTTTCCAAATGAGACAGCACGTGGGGTCCAGCCATTAGCCCCAAGTGGCAACAGTGCATTCGAGGATACACTGTCATTTGGCCTTGTAACCAAATCTTCTTCTCCGGTCCCTGCAGGCCTCAGGGGGGCCATGGCATTTGCACTGGCCATCCGAGACACAGCATCCTATGCCCGCCAGATGATGTTCACGACCACGCTCCTCATTGTCTTCTTCACCGTTTGGGTCATTGGTGGAGGCACGACGCCCATGTTGTCGTGGCTTAACATAAGGTCAGTTTGAAACCATGGTCAGTTTTGTGTCTAACTGGGTCACTTGTGCCCACCCTGGTGCAGGTGTGTGTGTGGCGGGGGAGACAGCTTAGTGTGTAGAAGGTTCTTAACAGGGTTGTGTTGGGTTGGGTTTGGGGGAGGGATTGAAAATAAAAAGCAATGAGTAAAAATTCAGAATATTGACTTTTCCACGAGAAAAAAAGAAGGTGGGCATGGAAATTTCTGTCAGTACGACAACACAAGGCCTTAGAAACACCTGGACCTTCCTAGAACAGTGACACTAGGGCAAGAATTCCAAAGTCTTAAAGCTGCAGGCAGGAGAACGGATATCACTGCCGGCAAAGTCAGGCAGTGCACATTCCTGTGAAATCACACCTCTGGCCTTCAGAGCTACCTCATCCACCAGAAACAAAAAGAGCCAATTCGAGTTTTGTTTCTAGGAGGAAATTGATCTGTTTCTTGCTGAAGTGTACCAAAGAGGTGATATTTCCTGTGTCACCATCCTCCGTTGCAGCCTCATGCATGTCCCCTGCCTCTGGTTTTGCAACTCAGTCAGGACTGAAAGCCCTGACCAAAATTTGATTTTTTGTTTTTTAAGAGTGTTTGAAGCCCAGAGGGGCTGCAAGCTCTAGCATGTTAGGGTAAGGAGGGCACTGGAACAGAGGTCAGGCGTCCCAGAGCCTAGCTCTGGCTCTGGTTCACAGCAAGCCCTTCACATGTCTTTGGGCCTCAGTTTCCCCAAATGCTAAGTGAAAGCATGCCAGCAGACCTTCCGCAGCCCCTTCAGCTCTCAGAGGGTGTGCTCTGCTCATGGGAGGCACCCCTACCACCTCCATCCATTTGGAGTCTGCGGAGGGTGAATGTGATCAGGAGACAAGGCTCTCGGCATGCGTGGGTGTGAAGAGGAATTCTCTGGAAAGCCACAAGATGGCGATGTTTTTCTGTTTTTCTTCCTCTGCCAGCTTTTAGTTCACATTCCCTTCTCTGGAATATAGAATGCCCAGACAAGAGCGGCAGAGCCTACCTTAGTTGGGGTGGGGGGGGACTGGAATTTGGGAGAAAACTGGAATTGGAGACACCTCCGTAGCCCCATCAAGACTTTTGTCTTGATGGCAGGTAGGGATTCCTGGGCTTGGCTTCTGCCAGCTGCACCGTTTCTGGCCTAGCAAGTCTCAGCCTCACATCCTCGTGGGTCTGCAGAAGCTACTCGGGGCTGATCAGTGGCAGTCCCGTAATAGCTAACACTTGTGTGACGCAGGCATTGTACAAGATGCTGCGCCTGTGTTAAGACAATCTTCACAACATTCGGTAGAGAAGCTACGACTATGCTCTTCATTTTAAAGTTGATAGAACTGAGGCCCAGAGAAATAACTTGCCCAGGTCACAGAGCTTTAGGGGGATGGGCCGAGATTTGGGCCCCGGCAGTCTTGGCACCCAGTCCACAGGCTGAACTGCTGTGTTCGACCACCTGTGAGAAGGTGGACGGTGTTGGGCACCTCTGTGTTGTGAAATTTGGGATGACCAGAACTTTGAGTTCCTGGTATGAATCTCAAGAGTTGTATTAAGGAAAATAATTCATCATGGGAATATGAACCTAAAGAAGAAAATGGACAGCTTTTTGGCTCCAAACCTGACACATGTAATGGTACCATCTTTGTTCTGTGTTAGAATAAAGGTAAGAAAGGAGGTTTACCCTGCACACAGTTGAGAATCTTTAAGAATCTCAAGATTAAGGGCGCCTGGGTGGCTCAGTTGGTTGGGTATCTGCCTTCGGCTTGGGTCATGATCCTAGGGTCCTGGGACAGAGCCCCACATTGGGCTCCCTCCTCAGTGGGAAGCCTACTTCTCCCTCTACCACTCCCCTGCTCTCTCACTCTCAAATAAATTAAATCTTTTTTTAAAAGGTTTTATTTATTTGACAGAGATCACAAGTAGGCAGAGAGGCAGGCAGAGAGAGAGAGGGAAGCAGGCTCCCCGCCGAGCAGAGAGCCCGATGTGGGGCTCGATCCCAGGACCCCGAGATCATGACCTGAACCGAAGGCAGAGGCTTAACCCACTGAGCCACCCAGGTGCCCCTCAAATAAATTAAATCATTTTAAGAAACAAGAATCTCAAGATTGACCTCTGAGATTACTTTCTGCTCCTATTTGTCTGGTCACTCAGCAGGTACCTGGATGCTCAGAGCCTGATTAAATCACGTTGGTTTTTCATCCTGATTTATAGGCCCTCCCACACACTACACACATGTATAGGCAAATAATTTCCCACCAATAGGAGAGTTGACTTGTGACATTTTGCACTTCTGGTAACCCTTTTCCAAACTGGGCCACTCACATTGTCGTTTCTAGAACTGAGAGTGTGTGTAGCTTTCCCTGAGACACATAAGCTGTATATACAAATATAATAACTTTATCATTGTGGAAATATCCATGTAATGTACAGATAGCACCTAGAACATAGCAGCTAGTGCCCAGAGAGGAATCGGGAAATGATGATGTGGATGACTGGGCATAGGAGAGATCTCATTTCTCCACATCCTCACCAGCATTTGGTGTTACCACTCTTCTTTTTTTTTTTTTTTTAAGATTTTATTTATTTATTTGACAGACAGAGAGCACAAGTAGGCAGAGAGGCAGGCAGAGAGAGAGGAGGAAGCAGGCTCTCCGCCGAGCAGAGAGCCCGATGCAGGGCTCGATCCCTGGACCCTGAGATCATGACCTGAGCCGAAGGCAGAGGCTTAACCCACTGAGCCATCCAGGTGCCCTGGTTTGTTAGATTTATATCGAAGTATTTCTTTTTTCTTGAGCAATTATAAATACTATTCTATCTTTATTTTTTTTTAAGATTTTGTTTATTTGACAGAGAGATCACAAGTAGGCAGAGAGGCAGGCAGAGAGAGAGGAGGAAGCAGGCTCCCCGCTGAGCAGAGAGCCTGATGCGGGGCTTGATCCCAGGACCCTGAGATCATGACCTGAACTAAAGCCAGAGGCTTAACCCACTGAGCCACCTAGGCGCCCCAAAGGTTTTATTTATTTATTTGACGAGCACAAGTAGGCAGAGCAGTAGGCAGAGAGAGAAGAGAGAGAGAAGTAGGCTCCCCTCTGAGCAGAGAGCCTGATATGGGGCTTGACCCCAGAACCCTGGGATCATGAGCCGAGCTAAAGGCAGATGCTTTACGGACTGAGCCACCCAGGCGCCCCACTATTCTATCTTTCCAGTTTCCATGTGTTCACTGCTAGGATATAGAAATACAATTGGTTTTTGTTTTTTGTTTGTTTTTTAGAGAGGGAGAGGGGGAGAAGAGTAGAGGGAGGGAGAGAGATAATCTCCAACAGGCTCCACGCCCAGCATGGAGCCAGATGCGGGGATGGATCCCACGACCCTGAGATCATGACCTGAGCTGAACCCAAGAGTTAGAAGCTTAACCGACTGCGCCACACAGGCAGCCTGATTTTTCTATGTTGATCTTGTATCCTGTGACCACACTGAACTCATTTATTAGTTCTAGGAGGGTTTGGTTTGGTTTTGTAACTTACTTGAGATTTTCTACATAGGCCATCACATCATTTGCAAACAGAGGCACTTTTATTCCTTTCTTTCCAACCAATGTACCTTCTATTTCCTTTTCTTGACTCACTTGTCTGGCTAGGACTTCCAGTATGACGTTGAGTAACAGTGCCATGAGCTGACATCCTTGCCTTGTTTCCAGTCTTAAGGAGAAAGCATTCAGTCTTTCACCAATAAGTGTAACATTAGCTGTTGGGTTTTTATAGATGTTTATCATCATTAAGTTGAGGGAATTTCTATCTGTTGCTAGGTTTTTGAGCGTTTTTGTTCTTATCATGAACAGGTGTTGAATTTTGTCAAATGCTTTTTCTGTATCTATTGATGTGATCATATTTTTCTTGTTTAGCTTGTTAATATGGTAGGTTACATTGATTAATTTTTTTTAAGAGAGAGAGTACATACATGAGTGGGGGAGGGGCAGAGAGAGAGAGAGAGAGAGAGAGAGAATCTTAAGCAGGCTCTACACCCAGCATGGAGTCCAATACAAGACTTGATCTCAAGACCCTGAGATCATGACCTGAGCTGAAATCCGGAGTCAGGTGCATGACTGACTGAGCCACCAAGGCACCCCCCTTTTTCTAAAGTAATTTTCAAATATTTAACCAGCCTTACTTCCCTAAAACAAACCCCAGTTGGTTACGGTGTATAAATTTTTTATATATTGCTGAATTCTACTAGCTATTATTTTCTTAAAGATTTCTATGCTCTTTGTTCATGGGGGATATTGGTTTACCATTTTCCCTTTTTTTGGTACTGCCTTTTTCTATTTTTTTATTTTCCTTTTTCTATTCTATTTTATACTGCCTTTTTCTATTTTACCAATCTGATATTGGTATCAGAGTAATCTGGTCTCACAAAACGAGCTGGGATGTGTTCCTTACTCTTCTGTTTTCTGGAAGACATCGTGTAGAATTTGTGTTAACTCATCTTGAAAGCTTAATGGAATTCTCCAGTAAAACCATCTGGTCCTGGAGACTTCTTTTTCAAGAGTTTTCAAATTGTAAAGGCAATTTCTTTAATAGTTATAGGGCTGTTAAGATGATCTCTTTCATGGGGCACCTGGGCTCAGTTGATAAAGCATCCAGCTCATGATTTCAGCTCACGTCATGGTCTCAGGGTCATGGGTTTGAGCCCCACATTGGTCTCCATACTCAGCGGGGAGTCTGCTCGAGATTCCCTCTCTCTCTCTCTCTCTCCCCCCACTTGCATGCTTGCTCTCTCTCTCAAATTAATTAATCTTAAAAAAAAAAGATTATCTGTTTCATATTGGGTGAACTGTGGTAGTTTGTGAAATTGGTCCTGTTTCATATAAGTTGTCAAATTTATGTTGTTTGTAGCATTACCTTATTATTCTTTTCACATCTGTGACATCTATAGTGACACTCCTTGTTTCATTCCTGATATTGGAAATTTATATCTCCTCTCTTTTTTTC